CCCAACATCTGAAGTCGATCCAATAGATTAAAGGATAAACGTGCTCAATCCATATATCATCCAACGGTGATCACAAAACCCCATTTGGGAGTGAATCATTGTGCTTCCACCACCAGACAAATGTTTAGCGTCTTACCAAAAACATTGATCTCATTAGCCCGAGATCAAATAACGCCGTGGGCCCTTAGGTCGGCACTGACCGTGCTTTCAGCCAGATATCCTCTCATCCTCAACGAATGCTCACAAGTGGAGAAAGACTTCCACCAAAGCAGGTACAGCATCCCTCCAGAAATGGATTATAAAGGAGCCCCAATAGTGTTATCCCATAAATAATGTTTATTACAAGTTTAGACATATACTCACATATAGAGAAATGCGAAGCGCGTATTAGTCAGATAACAAGGTACGAATGTTTGCATGCATATGACATCACCGGCAAAAGTCGGGCGGGGGTTTACCGGTCATATCACATGTATGAAAACATTCGTACCTCGGTATCTGACTAATAAGGGGTAACTAAAAGGGTACCCTGATGCTAACGGGACCACCAGGCCAGGGTTGTGGAGAAAAGGCCCTTGTCCTCATTGGCATGGGGGGCACGAATTTAGGGGGGACCCCACACTTCCCCCCAAAAATGGGGTTCCCCTTAAAAGTCCTACCAGGCTTAAAGGGCCTGGTATAGCTTTTAGGGGGAACCACACGCACTTTAAAATTTTTTGTTCTTACGGTGGGGTCCCCCCTAACCTTCCTACCAGACCTAAGAGGTCTGGTATAGATTAGGGGGGGGTCCCACGCTGGTTTTAGAGATATATATATAATCTCATGGGGCCCCCTACTGACCCCAGGCCCTCGGACAGTGCCAGAGTTCCCAAATGGTCAGTCCACCCCTGCAGCCGAGGCAGCGAATGGCGTCGGGGGTAGGGCGGAACTTCATGTATACATATGTGATTTTGCGCACCCGTGCCATTTCTGCTATAGGGCGGCGCGGAAGCAGTTGGGGCGACCTATACAAAATGCTCATATTTTTTACTTTAACATAGATGTAAACCCTAAATAGGTGACATTTATTGCTAGGGAACTGCGTATCATAAACATTTGTCATTCTAAAAATACTTTTGAATTAGGAAACATTCACATGGCGAGCTGTATTATTTTAGATATTGCTGCATTAACTGCTATGGCCACCAGGAGAAAATACTCAGCCCTCTGGACTCCACTTATAACTGAAATATCACACTTGGATGAATTGATCCTCTAAGTCTTTTCTTCCTGGCAGCTTATCTGTTCCCCCCCCCCCCCTTCCCCAGGGGCAGACTGACAACTCATGGGGCACCCGGGCAATAGGGGATCAGGGGGCCCCTGTGTCCTTGCCCACACTCAAAGCACACCCAAAAAAGCCTATTAAAAAGATACCAGGGGCATTTCATGGGACCCCCTACTGACCCAGGCCCTCGGGCAGTGCCCGAGTGCTTGAATAGTCAGTCCGCCCCTGCACCCCCCCCCCCCGGTATAGCAGCCAGCTCCATTTCAGAGCACAGAGGGCTTGGCATACGCGCTGGCAGTGCCCCACCCCCCCCCTTTCCATGTTTATATTTAGATATAAGAAACATCAAAACTACTGACTCGTTTAACCCGTATGCTGCCGACGTATCTCTCACTATAGCAGCCGGGGGTTTCTGAACCTTTTACCCCCCAGTTGCCGACTTTTACAGTATAGAAGTGATATGGGGACTTCTATATACATGAAAGTGAGCCTCCCCTTCCCCATCAGCCCCCTTGTGATAGCTGTTAAAAATAAAAGTTAAAAGTACATTTAAAAAATCAAAATATAAAAAAAAAAAATTCAAAATACCCCAAATATTTATTCAGAAATGCCCCTATGGACAATTTTGGGTACTGTAGTTTTTTTTTGCATGGGCATGTTGGATTTTAAGGCTTGATGTGTTTGTTTTTTTTTTTATTCAACACAACCTCATTTGTTTACATTTTACAGAAAAATGAGTATTCTATTGTATCTATGTGTGTTAAAATTATTGTATATTTTTACTGAAAAGATACAATTGATAAACAGTAGCGCAAATAAATGACATATGCAGCGCTTACCACCGAAGCAGCCAATTTATTTGTCGGGTTCTCTGTTCTTGTGACTATGACTCTTATTTATAATACAATACAGCAGCTAACAATCAAACATCAGCAAATAATAGTATTATAGTAATTTATTGATATAATTAACACTTAATAGTCCACCTCTTTAACCCACGCAAGATAGCCTAACTAAGAGGAGGACGTTTAGGTGGCTACTGCAGCAACAATCAGCGGTCATTAGTACACATGTGCTAAAACTTCTGCTGGCCACCTCATTGGGGCCCAAAACTTTGCACTGGGTAGTGTCCCTTTAAGAGTTGGTGCTTGCAAACATAAAATGTTCCTGGTCATAAAATCTGTCTCTCTGCTTGGATGCAGTTTGCACACTCTTGACGTCATTGAGCTAATATGGACACATGGGAGGGGATGCTCTTGACATCATTGAGCTAATATGGACACATGGGAAGGAATGCTCTTGACATCATTAACATAATATGGCCATATGGGAGGGGATGTCCTTGGCATTATTAACATAATATGGCCACATGGAAAGGGATGCTCTTGACATCATTGACATAATATGGACACATGGGAGGGGATGCCCTTGACATCATTAACCTAATATGGTCCAATGGAAGGGGATGCTCTTAACATCATTAACATAATAAGGCCACATGGGAGGGGACGCTCTTGACATCATTCACATGATATGGCCACCTGGAAAGGGATGCTCTTGACATTGACATAATACAGCCACGTGGGAAGGGATATTCTTGACATCATTGACCTAATATAGCCACATGGGTGGGGATGCTCTTGACATCATTTACCTAATATGACCACAAGGTAGGGGATGCTCTTGACATCATTCACATAATATGACCACATGGGAGGTGTGCTCCTGACATTATTGACCTAATATGGTGACAAGGGAGGGATGCTTTTGACATCATTGACATTATATGGCCGCGTGGGAAGGGATGCTCTTGAAATTATTGACATAAATGGCCACATGGGATGGGATATGCTCTTGAAATTATTGACCTAATATGGCCAAGTAGAATGGGATGCTCTTGAAATCATTGACCTAATATGGCCACGTAGGAAGGGATGCTCTTGAAATCATTGACCTAATATGGCCTCGTAGGCAAGGATGCTCTTGACATCATTGACCTAATATGACCACGTCGGAGGGGATGCTCTTGACATTATCAACATAATATGGCCATGTGGGAAGAGATGCTCTTGACATCATTGACATAATATGGCCAAGTGGGAAGGGATGCTCTTGAAATCATTGATCTAATATGGCCACGTAGGAGGGGATGCTCTTGATATCATTGACCTAATATGGCCACATGGGAGGGAATGCTCTTGACATCATTGATCTAATATGGCCACGTAGGAGGGGATGCTCTTGACATCATTGACATAATCTGGCCACATGGGAGTGGTTGCTCTTGACAGCATTGACGTAATATAGCCAAGTGGGAAGGGTTACTCTTGAAATCATTGACCTAATATGGCCACATGGGAAGGGATGCTCTTGAAATCATTGACCTAATATGGCCTCGTAGGCAAGGATGCTCTTGACATCATTGACCTAATATGACCACATCGGAGGAGATGCTCTTGACATTATCGACCTAATATGGCCAAGTGGGAAGGGATGGTCTTGAAATCATTGATCTAATATGGCCACGTAGGAGGGGATGCTCTTGATATCACTGACCTAATATGGCCACATGGGAGGAGATGCGTTGACATCATTGACATAATCTGGCCACGTGGGAAGGGATGCTCTTGAAATCATTGACCTAATATGGCTACATAGGCAGGGATTCTCTTGGCATCATCAACCTAATATAGCCACATGGGAGGGGATGCCCTTCACATCATTAAAATAGGGCCATATGGAAGGGGATGCTCTTGGCATCATTGATCTAATATGGCCACGTAGGAGGGGATGCTCTTGACAGCAATATAATAAGCTCACATGGGCATATTAGGTCAATGGTGTGAAGAGCATCCCCTCCATGTGGCCATATTAGGTCAATGGTGTGAAGAGCATCCCCTCCATGTGGCCATATTAGGTCAATGATGTGAAGAGCATCCCCTCCATGTGGCCATATTAGGTCAATGATGTGAAGAGCATCCTCTCCATGTGGCCATATTAGGTCAATGGTGTGAAGAGAATCCCCTCCATGTGGCCATATTAGGTCAATGATGTCATGCGCATCCATGCCCCTTTTGTTTCGGAGTGGAAAATGCCCAGGCCACAGTTGATTGGGTGGGGTGAGCGGGAGTGGCAGCTTTCTTCAGGGTTTAGTCCCAACCTTTGCTCACCCTTAAAGGTGAATACTGGATGTACATCTGTAGGGGAGCGTAAAAAATATATTCAGGTTTAATTTCTCCTTTCTCGTTGACCCGAATTTATTTGGCCAAACTTTTGACAAAATCTTCCAATCTGCATCAAAATTTTGGAAAATGTTAAATTGTGCCGGGTACCAGGGGCTGGAACACCCCATGGTGGGCAAAGTACCCCCAAGGCGACAGAGCCAGGAACAGGGCGCAGATGTTCCCACCAACATCCTGGAATCCAGCCAATGACTCGACTCACCTGGCTCCACCTCAAACCCAACTATCGCCTCCACGCGGGCTGACCCTCAAAGTGGTCTCTTCCGCGCCCCCCCCCTCCCCCATCTCCGTCAGGCAGGTGCCATGGCACCCCTCCCCCCACCTTGCTCAGAAATAGGACACCTCCACCCTCCTGGCCCCTTTAAGGGCCCCCCAGCAGCTGCTCAGCCCGTCAGGTCAGCTCTGGGTGACGTTTGACAAATGCCAGTTGTGAGGAGCCAGCCGGGCATTCCCTCTCCTCCCAGCTGCATTGTGGGTACGAGCAGGATGCAAAGATGGCTGAAAAGCAGAAGCACGATGGCCGGGTGAAGATCGGACACTACGTCCTGGGGGACACCCTGGGGGTCGGCACCTTCGGAAAAGTGAAAAGCTGAGTAAATGCGGCGCTGCGGAGCGGGGGAGAGGGGAGCCGGGTCTGCGCACTTGGCGTAGCGTAGCGCGGAGCGGTCAGCACGGGGGCGCCCTCTAGGACGAGCGCAGCGGCCTCTGTGAATAGCGCTGGGAAGAGGAGATACATTGTAACATTGTCTCCCCCCCCGTGTGTACTTCTACCGGTCCGCCGCCTGGGGAGTCCTACTGGGGGGATACCATTACAGCGCAGAAGAGGGGGGGCTTACTGATAACAACATTATGGGGGCTTATTAATTGATACATCTATTGGGGGGGCTGGCTTGCTGCTCTTACTAGGAATTTGAGAGATGGGGGGCTGGCTTGCTGCTCTTTTAGGAATTTGAGAGATGGGGGGGCTGGCTTGCTGCTCTTTTAGGAATTTGAGAGATGGGGGGGCTGGTTTGCTGCTCTTACTAGGAATTTGAGAGATGGGGGGGCTGACTTGCTGCTCTTACTAGGAATTTGAGAAATGGGGGGGCTGGCTTGCTGCTCTTACTAGGAATTTGAGAGATGGGGGGCTGGCTTGCTGCTCTTACTAGGAATTTGAGAGATGGGGGGCTGGCACATCAATATGGGGTGGGGGCTGTCTTGCTGGGCTTATCAATATATGGGGATGACTGACCTGCTGCTACTATTGATACATCATTGTAAGGGATGGGACCTGACTTGCTGCTCTTACTTTAATTATGAATTTGAGAGATGGGGGGGGGGGGGGGGGGGGGGGGGGGGGGGGGGGGGGGCTTGGTGCACTTGCTGACACATCTTTATTGGGGGGTGACTGTTTTAGTGGTCTTATCAGTATTGGGGGGGGGGGGTGATGAATGTCCTGCTGCCCTTATGATATATCAGTTTGAGAGATGGGGGGGCTGACTTGCTGCTCTTGCTGGTCCATCAATATGGGGGTGGGGAGGTGACAGTCTTGCTGGTCTTGTCAATATAGGGGGGTGACCGATCTGCTGCTACTACATATACTCATTATAAGTGATGGGAGCTGACTTGCTGATCTTACTGATATACGAATGTGAAAGATGGGGGGGCTGACTTGCTGCTGTTGCGGACACATCTTTATGGGAGGGGGGTGACTGTCTTGCTGGTCTTATCAATATATGGGGGTGACTGACCTGCTGCCTTTATGATATGTCAGTTTGAGAGATCAGGGGGCTGGCTTTCTGCTCTTGCTGGTTTTATCAATATAGGGGGGTGACTGACCTGCTTCTACTACTACTACTGATACATCATTATAATGGATGGGAGCTGACTTGCTGATCTTACTGATATATGAATTTGAGAGATGGGGGCTGGCTTGCTGCATTTGCTGACACATCTTTATGGGAGGGGTGACTGTCTTGCTGGTATTATCAAAATTGGGCGGGGGGAGGGGGGGGGGGGTGATGACTGACTTGCTGCTCTTACTGATATATGAATTTGAGATTTGGGGGGCTTACTTGCAGCTGTTGCTGACACATCAATATGGGGGGAGGAGGTGTCTTGCTGGTCTTATCATGATAGGGGGGAGATTGAGCTGCTGCTCTTACTGTTACATCATTATGAGGGATGGGTGCAAACATGCTGCTCCTACTGATATATGAATTTGAGAGATGGGGGGGGGGGGGGGGCTGGCTTGCTGCTCTTGCTGACACACCTTTGTGGGGAGGTGACTCTTTTGCAGGTCTTATCAGTATGGGGGAGGGAATGACTGACCTGCTGCCCTTACTGATATATCCGTTTGAGAGATGGGGGGGGGGGGCTGACTTTCTGCTCTTACTGATCTATCCATTTGAGTGATGGGGGCAAACTTGTTGCTGTTGCTGACACATCAATATGGGATTGACTGTCTTGCTGGTCTTATCCATATGGGGGGGGGGGGGGGGGGGGGGACGGCCTGCAGCTCTTACTGGTACATCATTATGAGGAATGGGGGCTGACTTGCTGATGCACCTGTCTAGGAGGGGGTTGTTGCTGACATATACACTTGCTGATTCATCAGTATCTGCTGGTCTCACCAATTTGGAGAGTGGCTGTCTTGCTGGTCTCACCAATTTGGAGAGTGGCTGTCTTGCTAGTCCTATCAATATTGGAGTGATTGTCTTGCTGGCCTTATCAATATGGAGGGGGGGGGGGTGTGACTGTCTTACTGGTCTTATCACTATGGGGGAGACTATCTTACTGGTCTTATCAATATGGGGTATTACTGTCTTTCTTGTTTTATCAGTACAGGAGTGAGAGTCTTTCTGGTGTCAATAATTTGGTGGGTGGCTGTCTTGCAAATCGTATCGCTGTAGGAGGATTAATGGCTTTCTGTTATTATTAATGCATCATTATTAGGAATGGGAGGTTGACTTGCCACTTGATGCACCTTTCAAGGAGGTGTTTGTTGCTGCTGTCTTGCTGATACATCTGTATGGGGTGACTGCCTTGCTGGTCTCATCAATATGGAGAGTAACTGTCTTGCTGTTCTATCCATATAGGGAGGTGCATGACTTGCTGATCTTTCTTATTCATTATTATGAGGGATGAGGGGCTGCCTTGCTGCTCTTATTGATGCACCTGTTGACTTGACAAGTAGGGGTTTGTTGATGACTTGCTGGTACATCAGTATATAGACTGACTGGCTTGGCGTATCAATATAGGGTGTGACTGTGTTACTGGTCTTATCAATATGGTGGTGACTGTCTTGCTGGTCTCATCAATTTGGAGAGTGGCTGTTTGCTGGTCTTATCAATATCAGAGTGACTGTCTTACTGGTCCCATCAATATGGGAGCGACTGTCTTGCTGGTCTTATCAATATGGGGTATGACTATCTTTCTTGTTTTATCAATGCGGGACTGAGAGTCTTGCTGGTCTCATTCATTTGGGGGTGGCTGTCTTGCAGATCTTATCAATATAGGAGAATTAATGGCTTGCTGCTATTATTAATGCATCATTATTAGGAATGGAAGGTTGCCTTGCCACTTGTTGCACCTTCGAAGGAGGGGTTTGTTGTTGCTGACTTGCTGATACAGCTGTATGTGGTGACTGTCTTGCTGGTCTCATCAATATGGTGGGTGACTGTCTTGCTGTTCCTATCCATACAGGGAGGTGCATGACTTGCTGCTCTTATTCATCATTATGAGGGATGAAGGCCTGGCATCCTACTCTTATGCACCTGCCATCCTGTCAATGAGGGGGTTGTTGTTCCTGAGTTGACTATCTTGTACAAGGCGATGAGTATGAATGAAAAAGACTACCTACCTGGTAAGGGTCACACACTTTTAAAGGGGCAACCTACATGAAAAGGACCACCTGTCTGAAAAAGGCCACCTATATGAAAAGGGCTACCTACACAAATAGAGGTTTCCTACATGAACAAGTTGCCCTGCATGAAAAAGGGTCACCTAAATAAAAAGGCCCTCCTACAAAAAGGGCCACCTATCTGAAAGGGTTCACATACATGAAAAGAGCTACCAACATGAAAAGGATCATCTAAATGAAAAGGACTACCTACATAAAAACAGCAACCCACAGGAAAATGGCCATCTACATGAGTCACCTACATGAAAAGGGCCACCTACATATGTTCCGAGACTTGCTGGTGAAAGCAATCAGACAAAACCTATTTGTGACCTACAGACAGGTTTGTTAGCACCACAATCCTGTACTCAACTCATAGTTTGTATACAGAAAAAAGCTGTATTATAGATTGACGTTGCATAACAAGTTCCAGGGCCACATGTGGTCTTCAGGCAGCAGGTTGGGCACAAGGATATAGAGGCTGTTGGCTGTACGTCACCTACACGAAAAGGGTCATCTATATTAAAAGTCACCTACATTAAGAGGGCCACCTATATGAAAAGAGTCACCAACATATAAAGGTCCACCTATATGAAAAGAGTTACTTACACAAAAAGGGCCACAGATATTAAATGAGTCACCTACATGAAAAGGGCCATTTATATGACAAGGATTATCTACATGAATTGAGCCACCTACATGAAAAGGGTCATCTGTATGAAAAGGTCACCTACATGAAAAGGGCCACCTATATTAAAAGAGTCACCTACATGAAGAGGGTCACCTACATGAAGAGGGCCATCTCCATAAAAAGGCCTTACCTACAGGAAAAGGACTATATGACTAGGATATTTAAATGAAATGGGCCACCTACATGAAAAAGGTCACCTATATGGAAAGAGTCACCTACATGAAAAGGGCCACCTTTATTAAAACAGTCACCCTACATGAAAAGGGCCACCTATATGAAAAGAATCACCTACATGAAAAGGGCCACCTATATGAAAAGAATCACCTACATGAAAAGGGCCACCTATATGAAAAGAATCACCTACATGAAAAGGGCCACCTATATGACCTAGAGTTACCTACACAAAAAGGGCCACCTAAATTAAATGAGTCACCTACATGAAAAGGGCCACTTATATGACAAGGATTATCTACATGAATTGTGCCACCTTCATGAAAAGAGTCACCTACATATAAAGGGCCACCCATATGAAAAGCGTCACCTACATAAAAATGGCCACCTATATAAAAAAGGTCACCTGCACGAAAAGGCCACCTATATTAAAAGAGCCACCTACATAAAGAGGGCCACCTACATGAAGAGGGCCATCTCCATGAAAAGGGCTACCTACAGAAAAAGGACTATATGACTAGGATCATCTACATGAAATCCACCTACATGAAATGGGCCACCTACATGAATGGGCCCCCTACATGAAAAAGGGTCACCCTCTTGAAAAGGGCAACCTACATGAAAAGGGCCACCTTTATTAAAACAGTCACCTACATAACAAGGGCCACCTATATGAAAAGAGTCACCTACATATAAAGGGCCACTCATATGAAAAGAGTCACCTACATGAAATGCACCACCTATATGTAAAGAGTGACGTACATGAAAACGGCCACCTATATGACAAGGGCCACCTACATGAAAAAGGGTCACCCTCTTGAAAAGGGCAACCTACATGAAAAGGGCC